CGTCGTGTCGCGTCGCGCCGAGGATGTCTGCTCGCGATGAGCCCCGGGAAAGTAAGACAGAAGCGGGCTTCGACAAGGACGAGGTGGAAGAAAGGTCGAGGGGGGAGAGAGAGGACGAATACGACGGCATTCGAGTGGTGCGGGGAAGCGACACGACGGAATTTCAGAAATTGCGCCCGACATTTTCGCATGCAGTGTGTATATACCGGCTTCCTGTACACTTCCACCTCTCCGTCGTCCTCTTCCTCATCCTCTTCATCCTCCTCATCCATTTCCTCTGGCTGTTCCTTCCAAGTTCTCGCGATCGAAACACCGGGGGATGTATCGGCGCGCTCGGGGGGTACCTCGATAAGCCGACAGTTTCGCGAGAGATGTCTCGGCTATGCGACGTTGGCTTCGAATTCGAATGAGTCAGCGGGGAGGGGATCGCGAACGGCGCGTAAACTTCGATCGCGCTCGAAATTCCATAAAGCGCTTTATTTCCCCGGGTGCAAAGCGCGGATCTCAGCGCGCGCGACAAATCAATCGCTCGACATACTCCTCGTACTCGCCGATTTCGCGCGAATAACGGTGCAGTTTTTAGTCTCCCATTGAAATTCTCGATAAGGATAAAATGGAGAGTGTGCTTTTTGTCGGCCGTAATATTCCTTCGGAAATGATCATTTCAAAGGAAAACGTTTGAAAGGAGCGTTCGCGAGAACCCGTTTGGATACGCGTTCTCAAAGACTCGAGCTCTCTCGCCCGTTCATTCGACGAGAAGCGAGAGAAACCCACGGCGGATTTTCCGCGGGGAAAATTGCAAGTTAATTTCCCGGTGCGGTCGGTCCCTCCGGCCCAAAGCGTCGGCTCGTTGTCGTCGTCAATTATTTTTAATTGTGCGCCGATCGGAGCCGCCAGGCTTTGCGCGACGTGCATTAAAATGCGCCTGGGTGTAAAATTGAAACTCGCGAGGCCGCAGTGGCCGCGCGCGCATTGTATTTCGTCGATTCGTTAATGTGATTTTCAACAAATAATTTTCATTCCCCTCGAACTGTCCCTCCTGCCCTCCCCCCTCCCCTTTACCCGCGCCAATTCGCCTACCTATCTACCCTGTTCATTGCTCGCGATCGTCCAATTCGTTGCGAGCATGATTTTGCACGAGGTCGTCGATGATGGACGAGTTCGTGCTTGAAATCATTGCGATACGCGGGAGAAAGAGATTGAGGGGGGGGAGGGGCGGATGGCAGGGAGGTCGAAGGGGTACACAGGGGGACGTGCGAGTGATTGGAAAGGGGAGGCGGCCGGCAGGTGCGTGGCTGTTCAATATTCATCGGCGAGAGGCGTCGAAATGATTTTAAGTGCCTGCAGAAATTGCCGCGGCACCGGCGTTTTCTGATAATCTGCATTATTTCGATCGCTTTGATCGCCGCTGCTTTAATAATATGTAGATTTATGTTTTCATCCGAACAGCGGCGGCAGCAGCGGCGCGTCACTTCTCCCACTTCTCGGCAGAGTCTAACGCGACGCAAAAATTGTTATTGAATTATTTATTGCGTTCTAAGTACCGGTGCGACGCATTTCGTTCGCTAGCACAGTGTATAAAGAGAAAGCTTGTTAAATATTACCTTCCGGCTTCCCGATGCAAAGAGAAACACGCTAGGTCGAAAATAAAATATTTCACCCGTGCATTAATAACATGAAACAAAATAGTATGTCGTTACAGATATTATAATATACAGTATTTAATCTAATGGCTGGCGAAGTATCGTGAAAATAATCACGAGATTATCGTTTGGAAAATTAACGGATCAGCCGATACTTTCCGAAGTATCACGCAAAACAAATTGCTATGACTATTTGGTTCGCGAGAAACAACGTTATCCGTATTTTGATACGTGATTTAGGCGCTGATCGTGCAGCGGGCTGAATAGCTTGAATGCACTTGAATGCATTTTTTCCGGGATTCGTCTCGAGAGAGAACTGCGCACAGTGATTCTGTGGTTCGATAAAAGCACCAACGAAAGAGAAAGAGAGAGAGAGAGGGGGAGGGAGAGAAAAATTTANGGGGGGGGGGGGGGACTTCCGGAGGTGCATCGCGAAATGCGGCGTTGGAATTCCTCCCAAAGGCGCTCGATTACCGATCTGAAAAATCCGCGGCAGAATAGCATTAAAGGTAGGAGAAGAAAAAAATACGGTCGCCGCAAGATTACCCCCCTCTTTCTCTCTCTCTCTCTCTCTCTCTCGTTCGTTCGATTGTGCGTCGAACGCGTACTCACCGCATGCATCCTTCCTCCTGTTTCCATCCCTTTCCCTTCGCCCCTTTGTAACAGATGATTCTCTCTTTCTCTCTCTCTCTCTCTCTCTCTCTCACTCTCAGTCTACTCTCTCTTCCTCACGCCGACCTCCGAGATGGGAATCGCGTTGTCATCAAGCTTATCGCGATTATCGCAGCGCGCCGGCACACGCACGCACAGCATCGTGTATAGCATCGCGATACGCGGTGCGAAGGGTGGAGGAGGGTAACATTGATGAAAGGAGAATCGCGGATCGCCGATTCTATTCGCGCGACGAGCGCACGGATACAAGGTTAGAGGAGATAGCATCGTCGGATTAATTATGCGTAATACGTAGAACGTGCACGCGCGCGTTCGAGAGCAGTTACGTTAGCGAGAGGATGCGCGTTCGTCGTTGCTTCCCTTACTCTCTGCCCCCCTTGGCGGTGGGACGCGGAGAGGTAGCCGCGACGCATTCAATTATCGTCGTTACCCCAGGAGTTTACAGATGTTTCGACGATAATCGCGTTGCTACGCGACTTTCACGTTGGTCGCGACTAAACACTGAGCGCTACTAAGCACTGCCGCCGGCATCGGAAGGAGCGAGAGAGAGAGAGAGAGAGGCAGAAGAAGGCCCGAGCCAAAGCGAGGAGCAGGGGGAATCTTCTTAATTAGACTCGTCGGAAAAATTAACGCGGTCCACTCGAAACGAACTGGCAGCGCTCCAGGTGCCTCGCGTCGCTGCACTTCCGCGGCCGCGGAAAAGCGCTGACCGATGCAATCTGCGGAGTGGTCCGCTGTGATGCGACCAGCGGTCGCGGCCCGATGAACTCTCTCTCTCTCTCTCTCTCTCTTCTTTGTCCGTCTCTCTCTTTCTCTCTTCCTCTCTTTCTTTCCGTTGCGGTCGTAATCGAGATGGTTGCTCGTTGACTCGCGATGCGCTCGTCTCGACGAGCCTCGTTCCGCAACATCTCGACGTTTCCGACGGATTTTTTTTAGCGGAAGCTGCAGCTCATGTGGAATCAGATATCCGAGGTGCGCCGAAGGCTCCTCGCGGAGTTTCTTCTCGCATCATGTCGTTCGGCCAATCGCGAATCTTTTCTTTGCTCTTGAAATCTCGTCAGACGTCGTTTACAGAAAAATGTCGGACGCTCTCGGAAATTAAGACGAAACGATCGACGGGTCTTCTCGTTTTTCAAGACACACTAATTTACCATATATCGTAAATTTGCCATCGGTATCGTTTTTTTGGAAATATCTGCTTGAGTTTTTTTTATGAAACATTTGGGTGTCCCAAGATGTACTGTTTAAATCTGCTGCGAATGCGATATAATACAGGCTATCATAAAGCCACTGGCCAATCCCGTGTCGAAATTTCAGTTCTAATTTAAGTCTATTTAATTCAGCGTTAAATCTTCAATTGTCTTTTCAATTGTGCGCCCTTTGATGCTGCAAATGGAAAGTTATTTCCCTATTTGAAGACTTAATGTAGAACCGAGTAGACTTAATGTAAGACTGAAATTTCGATTCGGGATGCTTTGAAGACTTGTGCTTCTATATAAAATAATTTCTTACATTTAACATATTTTTCAAGCGAAGAGTATTCTGTTCCGTCTTCTTTGCTGAAGTATTCCGTTCTCTCTCCTTTATTATTCTTATCTCCCAATATGGCGGCACAACTCCCTATTTCTTTCTTACTTCTATAAGCGGGCGCGTTTTACCCAAGATTTAACATCCGCGACGCTCGCGCGAAAATGCGCAATTTCATGCGTAATCCACGTCGCTCCTTTCCGGCTCCCTTTCAGTTTTCTCGACGAAAATTTCGCGGTGGGCTCTTTTTTTCGGCCGACAAGCCGATAGGTCGACGACGCGCACGCGCTACGCCGCAGGAAAAATCGAGCGAGCATCGTCAGTAAACACTATAAATCAGCTTAATCCGCGCGTCGAGCGAAACGAAGGGGTTGGGGGGGGGGGGGTTTGTGCGGGCGTTCGCGTGAATGTGGGTTAACGAAGGCGAAAAAGGAAAACAATTTTGGCGTCAGCGTTTCGGAATTTGCAGGCCGCGCGACACGACGCGATGCCGTCGAATAAAAACAGCGTGCGTTGCTACGGAGCGAAACTGGTCAAGTTTCGGGATGGTGACCTGTGACCTGGGAAACCACAAACCGCGTTAGGCATGTTTAGAAAATCATGTGAAACACGACGCTCTAAACAATGTTATTTTCGCATCGTCGGCAGTCCGGAATAGTGAGGTGAAATTTCGGCCTTCTGATTATATTCCAGCTAATCCGAATAAATCAGGAAAACCAATATCGAGATACAAAGAAAATAACATCCGTTTCACCAACACTCCTGAACCGCTCGTTCCGCTCCTCTATCTATATTTTAATTCAATCCACGATATATGCGGCGAGCGTATCTCCGCTCGAATCTAGTTTCGCCGGTCGCGCGGGTATCGCGATTTTCCTTGTAATCGCGGCCATAAGTCGATCGACACGCGTCCCTTTGCGAGAAAGAAGCGCAGAAGGCGACTGCTGCTCGACCTGCCCGCCTACCCCGGTAAAGTATACGATTTACGTAAACGCAATAATAACGCGCTCTGCATCGCGCGCGCCGAACGTATGCGTTCTCGGAAATCGCGATGCACCGCGGGGTGAGCGCGTCGTTCGCGCGAAACGCGAGAAAGAGAGGAGAACGGTACCACCGCGTCGCAGCACGGCACGTGATCGTTTCTTTTTCTGCTTTCAGGCGTAGTCGGAGCTCGGAACCTCACGATGGAGTGCCGCAAGGGTCGACGGAAAGGAGCACCGATCCTCGGCGGGCTGCTGCTTGCATGGCTCTTAACCAACGGCCGCGCCGTCGTCGCGCGAAATATGGGTGAGTGCGAGAAAGTATTTACGATTCCGGACCGCGGTTCCTTGCCGCGGGTAAACCCCCTCCCCCCTGTCCTCCGCATCCTTGCGCCAATTAAGGGGCCGGCTACAACGCGCGCGCGGATATTTACGCGCGACGCACACCCCGCTCGGGGAACAACCTCTCTCCTTCTCTCTCGCGCGAGCGCGCGGAGGCGCGACTCGCCGCAGGCGGAAGCCAGTTTTGCATCCCGGCGCCTTTCGCGTGCTCTCTTTAACCTCGCGCGCAGCTGAGAAAGAGCACGTTTTAAATTTCCACGTCGCGACCGAGCGGCAACCGTCGCGCCGGCGAGATTGTTCCGGCCGGCTTTGTTTCGGGAAATTAATGGCAGACGGAATTTCTTTAAAAGGGCCCTTTATTATAAAGTGAAACGCCTCGGTATTTGTGTAGTGCGCCTGGGAAGTGCGAGATGTGTTAATTAAGCGGTAAGCGGAGGGATTACCGACCGTACAGCGGGATCTCCGGAGCACGCAGCGCGGTCGGAAGTTAGTCTCTCATCTATCTCGAACATCAAGAGTCGAACGAGACGATTTCAGAGAGCGCGATTGTCAACGATTTTTACTATTTTCTTTTTTATAGACTGAGAAATTTCTGATATTATTCCAACATCATGATCGTCAATGTTAATGTCTCAAGTTTAATATGATCGTCTCGGTGTTGTTGTTGAAATCTCACGTTATCCACGATCTCCGGAGCGTGCGTTTTCACGCTTGGTCGGTGTCCGGTGAGTCCGGTACGCGTCGCGCGGGAAATTGTGCTCGTGTCTCGCCGCGTTAGTCGAGTTCTCGCCCCGGGAACCTAATTATAACGCGACACTCCGGCGGCCGGGAGCATGTCCAGTCATAAATTTTCAACCGGGAACAAAAATCGTCTTGAAAGCTTTAATAAAAGGAGGTTGGAAGTGGCCGTGACGTGTAGGCGCGCACGCGCTGAGGGCGGTGTGGATCGTTGTTGCCGGTAAATCCCGGAAAACCCCGTGAGATGGATGGGAGGTTTCGGCCGGCATGTTAAGTCCGGGAACACACCGTAGCACGCTCGTAGAATTAAACCGTTCTCGTGCTAATTGATTTAGGAGATCTCCCGTCGACGTTCGCGCGCGTGTGTGTGCGTGTCCCGTCGCAACAACTGCGCGCGGCACCTTCGTACGTTCTCAGTGTGTAATAAATAAGAATCCTACACTTTTTATAAACTCTTAAGACCGCGTTCTCTGTAACCGCGCGTTTATGCGACTGTCCGAGTCTGAGCCTTGCTCGTTCCGTACGATGGTCGCGTACGGCATTACATTTCAGCTTGAGAATCGCGTGGCCGTGTTTCGTCGGACGTATACCTCGGGAAATGAGAACTTTAACTCTTTACGGCCCGAGTTACGGCCGACGTTTCTTTCGATCCGCGAAAATTCAGTTACTTCGCCGTAGCACCGGTATTTTTCGCGTTTACTTCGGTATTTTCGTGTCCGATTAACGCAACGACAAACGTTCGCACTGGTGTATTTATTTATGTTGAATCTCGATATAATATTAACCCTTTGCACTCGAGGGCTCCGGAGCGGAGCCATTTAAAATTTGTCTTCAAACTCGAGGGCTCCGCTATGGAGACAATGCAAATAACTTTCAGTTCATAACATAAGGACAAAGACAAACCGTAAAAACTATTGTGTATAGGATATTCCGTTCTTGCTATTTGCATTTGAGTTTGAAGAGAAATTTTAAATGGCTCCGCTTTGGAGCCCTCGAGTGCAAAGGGTTAACGTATAAAAAATCATCGAGAGATAGGCTCAACACAAAAAAGAGGTCGAAACAGCTAGCAGGAGAGCAAAACGAAATATCAACGGGGCGGCATCTCCCCCGACTTTTTAATCAATCTATCCCCGACCGATCACGTCCGCACTTTTTGTCATTCTCTCGCCGTTCGCGCGGGGGCTACGCGAGAGCGCGGGATGAAAGTTGCCGGAATGCATTTCGGGGCGGCCGTTCCGCCGAAAAGAATTCCGCTCAGGCGCCGACGGCGGCGCCTACAAATTTCTCCCGGGAGCATTTCCGCGCTCGCATATTAGCCCGGCTGCGCGCCCAGCTGCAATCTCCGACTACCGTGTAACTGATCGCGGAAGTTGAAGAAAAACCCGCATCGCCCGGGCCAGCCGGCGCGGCTCGACGAGAAGGGCGTTATTCTCTCTTCATAAATCCGGCACTTTCCGACGGGAACGCGAGAGAGCACGCGCGTTTGAGCAACCTGCGATGCCGTCGCCCTCGAGAACGACCGCGCGCTGCCAAACATTAGTCCCGAGGAACAAGGGAACAATTTAGAGCGTAAACGCGCGCAACGGCGTTAGAAACGTGAGAACGGACGCGATTTCTTTTGCACGGAGGAACGAGAGTCTTTCTTGATTTTTGCAAGAAAAAAGAATCGAAAGGAAGCACCGAATTAAACTCGAGAAATCTGAATTGGGAACGATCTCTTTTATGTGTAATTCTCCTCACGGGGGAGGAGGAGAGTGACTGGCCGACTTATCGCAATCTATCAAAGATTCGCCCCGTAATCTCTCAGTCGAGACGGTAGGTGTGGTATTTCTCGACGTAAACTGGGGGGGAAGAAAGGAAGGGCTGGCTGGCTAGCGCCCGATAGGGATAGAATTCAGTAACGCATTGAACACACGCGAGCATTAACGAGCGACCGGCAGTCTCGGGAGAAGCGATTTCAGAGCAGCGTGTTCAAGAGGGGTCGAGGATGAGACACAGGGGTCGGTGGAAGACTCGCGGTAAGTGTTGGAAAGCGAGAGGGAAAGAGAGAGATCGCGTCCTCTCTTCATCCCTTTACGATTATCATACACCCCGTTGCGTCCAATCCATGCAGCCATCGTCGTAGTTGCGTTTCCAGTGTTCTGCCTCCAGTCCCTTCCAGCTACTCCCTTTCCGGTTAGACGTACGTGCACGCACACACATATACATACGTAAGCATACACACACACACACGAGCGGGAAAACCGCAGGAACCCAAACGATAGATAAATCAAAATCGCTGGCATTGTGCGCCCGTTGCCGCCGAGGCTCAGACGAGGCTTTGTGTGCCATCGAAGGTGGATAGAGATTTAGGACGTCGCGGAATCGATACCGCTCCTGCGACTGTGTTTCCCGCATGGAATCGCGGGGTCGCGATATAGCTGCTTGCTACTCGAGGTGATGGAGAAACCGGGCGACGCTTGAATTAGATTCTCGCGTCTGGACTCGCGCGCAAGAGACACATGGAGATGAGAAAATTAATTAGTGAAATTAAACATACATAGCTGGAGATGTCATTGATGAAATCCTATTAATTTCGTCAAGGCGGGATATTACGTCCCTTTGACACGGGATCTTTAATATCGAAGGGAAATGAATATTGCGAGAGAATTCATTACTCACTGCAGAAAAATTAATTATTTATTAGGAAAATATTGAGAGGTTCTCTTTCATAGTTCATCGCTTATTCTACGAACGAGAGACAAAAGTACAAGCTGCTTCGTCTCCTTTTCTCTTTCTCCCTTTCTTTTTCCGTGGTGAGCGCGGAATCGCTTTGAAGAAAGTATACATTCGATATTTAATCTCCTAAAATTACAAACTTTACTATGGTCGGTGTGCTAAAATTTCCGGCCCGATGCCTTTACTCGCCGCCACTTCTTTTCCCCTCCCTCGCGCCGAGTATACGCGCATTATTTCAGTTATTCAGCAATTAGTTTTTTAGTGCCGCTCCGCCCGTCATAAAACCGAAAATGATTCCTCTTAGCGAGCGTATAAATATGCCGGCGCTTCGAAAAATTACATAAAACTCCCGATAGCCGCCACTTTGTAATCCACCCTGATGGCCGTCGTAAAACGTTAGTTAACGGTGGGAAGGATGATCTCGATCGGGCTGACCTCGCGAATAACGCGCCGATAAAATTTGCAGCGGCGGCGGCAGCTATCGGCCGCACGAGAGACGTCGCCGAAAGACGTCGTTCACTCGTGGCCACTCGCACGCAATTACTCGCGTCGCTAGCATAGCATTTTTACGGAGGGCGGAATTTCCGGCCCTCATCGATCGACAATAAAGTTTACGGCGCAACGCCAAGCAGTTAGATTCCGATTCGATCATCAGGTGGAATCGTCGATCAAATTTTCATCGCTCACGTGGATATGCACAACGTTACTCTAAGGATGTTCGATGCGCCTTGGTGCTATACAACAGAAAAAACCAACGATTTCCAATCGCATGTCGAGGATATGAAAAGTAACGTTTCCCCGTCTGTCGAAATTTCCTCTGTATCGAAAGTCTGATCATACGTTAATCCTGCAAATTCCATCGAAAATCCCGAGATTCCCCGTTGATATTTCAGGTAACGAAATTTTCACGGTTAATGTAGATCCAAACTTTCGACTCCGGATTTCAAATAATTCATCGATCTCATCAGTTTTACCGGTCAAGGTATTATATCGCGATTTCGCAACATCACGCGTTCTAGTAATTTCCCTGGGAAAATGTGGGCGAATTTTCGGCATAAAAATCATCAGGCCGCGCACGTTGATCGTGAAACGCTCTCACTGTTGATCAATTATTGCCCGCGAGACTTCGCAACTGTATTATCGGCCGTAATTGCCGTAAACGGTTGCCGGTCTACCTTGTATCTCTGCCGACGTTGCGGACCACCTGGGACACACACCGTGAGGAGGATCTCATCTTCTCTCCTCCTTTCCCTCCCCCTCCCTCTGTCGCCTCGTCTTCTTCCCTGCCGTGCACCGCACGATGACGAGGATTTATAAGTGCGGCAAAGGGGAGGCGCTGCCGGGCAATTTACGGCCGCCACTTATGTCGCCGTGCCGCATTCTGAGCAATTAATATTTACGTCGGATAGATCGGTAATCCTATTATACACTCGGCACAATATCGAGATAATAAGCATTGTGGACAGCGCGTGATTACAGGCTGCGCCGCGTCGTCCTCGAGGCAAACCG